AATTTATTGGGAACGTAAGATCACTAGCTACAGGTTGGAATAGTGCTAAGCAATTTAGGTGTGTGATTGCTTCAGTAATTCAGAATTCAGGGTTTAGATTGGAGTATAAGTGAAGGTTTAGGACAACCTAGGTTAAGGGTGTATTTGTCCAGGCATTAGTTTAATAAATCAGTTGGCCATGAACATTGTTTACAAATGTTTCAGTATTTAACAAATAATAAGATCAAATTAGATTATAACACAGTTAAAATCATTTCAGCTTATATTGTAGGGTTATTTTAATGATGTAAGCTAATAAAACTTTGTAGGATATCATAAACCTCACTAGTTAGTCATCTATTTCACTGATCTCATAAACGAGGGAAAGCTATGTTTCTGCTTAACTATTTTATTTAAACTGAGTCTTTATTTTAACAATTTTCATTTGATGACCATTATTGTCACGTACTGATGTTTGAAAATTACCCATTAACTTCTAATGATAAATGCTAGCCATTGGGTTCCGATTCATTAATTGAATGATGTTGTACATGTACATTATGAGGTTTAAGAGTCCTGTATTGTATTATAAATTCGAAGCTTAAAATTTAAGAAAATTTGTCACACAGTATACATTGGTACCTAATACTTCCTCAGCTTATATAGGTTCTCTATGAATACAACCCTCTGTTAACAAATTAAATGCCTTGTAATGAAACTGAACAAAGAATATTATATCTTTTATTCTGAAAATTATACTGAAAATTACTCTTTACTTAATAAATTTAAATCCAGAAAACACAGCAAGAATTCGCTGCATTTGTATACAGAAGGTGTCATTTCTCAAATAAATGATAATTACTTTATAAAATTCAAAAGGCGAATACAGTAGCGATTGTTGTTGATTAATTTTATTGAATTCTTTGTTAGTGTGTGTATAAGTACATAAGTTATTACCTGAAACTCAGAGAGTTCAGCTATTCCACCCAGTTGAAAACTCGAGATGATTTGCTTAATAAATTATTTAATAGTTGGATCATTGATTGATATGGATTTAAGTTGAATACAACATGTCATTAAACCTGAATACAATCTATCCCATATTTAGCTACTTAATTTCTGGGTGTTGATCAGAACTATTAACCATTCAATCTGATTGACAGATATTTATTAATTAGTTGGGGTATGAGTTCATGCTAAAAACGAAATGCACCATATACGTATAAAACCTGCTAGCTTAAGATCATTCTAATTGACGTTTTGTTATTTACAATGTTCACTTACAACATCTTTTGACCTGAAGAAGTAATTTAAGATAGTTCACGTATTGTTAGTTTGCGTAAACCAGTGACTGTACTGGCAAGATTGATAGAATTAGATCAAGACTAAGTAAACAACAGGCGTCACATCGATTTCTAATCAATAATCACCTAGCGCAAAACTCAGGTCAGTTGTCCTTCAAATAGCTCACTAGTAGCATCTTAGATTACGAAATTGTAAAATCCTAGATATAAGCTTACAGGGCGCATAGGTTATTGATAAGCCTTTCTGAAGAGTCTCAACTAAATTCAAATCTTACTTCAGGGCCTCCTGCCAGTCACTTTTAAATATCCAACATAATTTAACACAATGTATGTTCAATTCACTTAAAAAAATATTGTGATTGAGAACAAATATATCTGGCATGTTTATCATATTTTGGTATTTAAAAAATGTAAGCGGAAACCAGCAGTTATAAATAAAGATGTAACTGGCTGCTTACGGGTTGCTATATATATATATATATATATATATATATATATATATATATATATGCTAACGAGCACATTTGTTTTATTGGCAACTTATAAGTTGGAAAAGAATGGAACACAAACAAACTTTTCAGTGATACTCAGCTGCGACTCAACACAGGATAGAACCCCTGATTTTCAGATCTAAATGCAGGTATAACACCAAATCACTGAGTTTGTATTCCATGTTCATATATTTTAAAACTTCAATTAGGAAGCAGTGTTCAATGGGGTCATTGATAAGTTTATACCTCACTCTTTACTTCGTTGACTTAATAAGCTACGATTAATCTATCTTGGATTTCTGAAATATTTGAAACGGGGTCAAAAATGCCAAGCAACAAAAATTTCGATGTCGGTAAGAAATCTTGATCTGGTGCATGTCTTCTTTTGTCTATTTTCGAAACTATAAATAATCTTTATCTGTAGCAAATTGCCACAATTGAGAAACCTTAAAAACAGTCACTTTTATTTACTTCTCATTTCTATTTCTCTGTTGAATTTTCGTTTGTCAAAGCAAAGAATGAACATTACATAAATAAACATTTTCTCAATGATAATTATAAGTAGAAGAAATCTCATTTAAATTATCAAACTCTAATCAAAACATCAAATTATTTTGTGGTTATTTTCTTTTTTCTTTTCTAGAAGAAATGAATCAAGTACAATCTTTCACATTCACTTGTGTACTAAACTACTTATAAAATACTGAATTCTTCAAATCACTTTCACTGATGAAAATTCTATAACAACACTAATTACCTACTTCTATTAATTGTAAATAATCTTACGTACCAGAGTTTCATAGTAGAGGGTTATTTGTCACCAAAGGGATTGTCTAATTCAATACTTATACTACTAATTAAAATTCAGAATATTTTAACTTAAACATCCTGTTTCTCATAGATTAAATGATTCCAAAAAAATTATCATACAATATAACATTCTTTAATTTTTGTCACTCTTCACAATAACTAAATCATAAAATCATTTCAAGCAATACTTTTATAACGTTAAGCAAATGATTTAGCTAGTTGTCATGTGCTTTATTTTTAACAAACCCTAATAATTAAGGTAGTTATGTGCTCATAAGTGCACAATATTCTATCAACAATAACAAAAAATTGATTTGAGTCAGGTGATTGAACTGTAAGGCTAAATTAATTTCATTCACTAAACGTTAAATATTACGTGAATTAATAATTTGGGTACTGAGAGAAGATGATCAGCAGTTAGGTTTCATAAATATTCATAGATTTATTGATTAGTTGCTTTAAAAAAAGAGAAAAAAAGATATTTGATTGTTAATGATATTACTGAAATACTGAATAAATCTAGAAAAGTTACTTTATCATATAAGATTCTTATTAGAAAAGATAAGAATGATGCGATCTTACAGTAATTTCAGTGAACTTTAGAATAAACATAAGTCATATTTTGTACTGTTACAAATGAATAGCAATATTTATTTATTGTATCAATTAACTATTTTAGCTAATTAGTTCACACGATAACCAATTCAATTTTGAAGTTATCATTTTGATACTGCGGTAGATATTATCCATTCAGAGTTACGTAATTTCTAGTGATATGGGCTACAATATGACGAAATTTAAATCTCACTTTTCTGTATTCCATTTCATCCGAAATTTGTAATATTATGGCAGAATTTAGCATTAGTCAAGAACTTGGGTAGTCAAGCTAATTAGAAATGTGACCATATGTTTGTTGATGGCTTCAACAACCTACACGTGTTCACTTATTTAAATCATGATAAATCATGATATAAGGTTAGTTATTTGCAAACTGATTCTACCAATTCACAATGGTTCCTCAAGCCAACATTCATACTAAATTAATAGTAATCAATAAATATTCATTAAATGACGGCGTAAATCAGAACTAACCAAAAAAGACTTATTTTGAAAATGATCAAAATATATGGACAAACTGTTAAGGACATAATTGAGCAACAAAGTTACTCTGCTTTATTCTAACGGTTTCCAATTCCTATGACTCCTCATCAGTTACCTTATACCCCGTTTAACTGACAATTAACAGTCCTAAAATGAAAAACTTGTGTACAGGCAGGTGTAACTTCTAATCAATTTTAGATATATTATTGCCATACTAGTTGTTAATATTGCATGATGGTCCTTGAAATTTCACCGTTTCACATTTGAATATCCCTTCAGATAGGTTAGTCGAACTAGACTTAATAAAACGACTCCTTCAACTCTAACAAGATCCTCTACTAAGGATATATATGACTGATTCATCCAAAAGATATTCAAATACATAAGTTCTAATTACTTTGTTAACAGATTTACCCGTTTTGTCTTCTTATGAAGTGATTCATATTAACAGGTGAACACATGTGTTAAGCTGAAAATGTTAAAAATAAGTAAATCACTTTTATGCTAAAAACCGTTTAATGACTTAGTTAATATAACATGTTACATCCATGTTATGCAACAAAATACTGTAAAATACACAATCGGTGTTTTTCGTTTCCAGAATTTAAATTTTAGGCTTGGTCATATATAGGAATGATTTCATTTTAATCGTTTTGTGTGTAAGCAAGTTGCACATTTAACTTGATGTTATGATGTCATGTGTTCCGATATTTGTTTTGTTTCAATTTTGACTAGTCAATTGAATGTATTACTCTATTAAGTGATCATGCAAACTGCGATCTTACAAGCTTACTTCTGCGAAACTAAGAACATATTAATCTTATTCCCTTGAAAATACTCACTATGTGAGTAAATGTAAATCTATCGTTTTGATGTTTTTATTACTTAAAATATTTCCGAAAATTTTCTGATATCAAGCTTCTTAGAAGCCATTTCGTCCTCGGCATTATCCCAGTCCTCAATGAAACGGTTTATCCTGATAAAAACAACTATTTCTTTTCAAAATATTTTACTTATTAATTCCTTTCAGCATTTCATGAATTTGTTAATCAATACTGGCTGCATATTGATCTTCTCTAGCAATTTTCAATATTTTTATGTTGGTTTATTCAGGATACAACAATGTTAAATTGAATATAAAATGACCTATTTCACAATTGATTTTGATCAAAATACTCTGGCATATCAACAGTTACAGTGTGATGTTTAAACATGTTTGATGTATATAGTTATTTGTGGGCATGAACACTTTCATATTATTTGGAGTGTCTAATTATAATTGTTAACCATTCTGTTCATTTTTATTTATTTGTAGAAAAGATAATTAACTTACAAAAGTGAAAAAAGCACACTTCATACCACTAAGATAAAATGCTTGAAGAATTAAATATTGGTGATTTAAATGATGTGCACAATGATAATAAAACAGGAAAATGGACTTCATCCAATGATCGTAGTAGATTATCACGTTATCGTGAAAGTTATTGTTCTGATGTGGATTTATTGCCTTCATTATGCACAAACGTAACAGTTGATATCCATCAAGATAATATTAATAATAGTGATTTTATTCACTTAGCTCGGAAAAATTATGAGCCATTAAGAAATAGTGATGGAATTAACACTAAGGCAGTTAACAATAATAGCGGCAGTGACGATAGGAGTGATGATGATTATAATGATGACGAGAATCTTATGAGCTGGTTACTGAAACAGTTTAGAGAGAATGGTTTAGAGTACAATGACAATAACTTAAAAAATGATGACTTAGAGAAAATTGATGCATTTAATTATGTGAAGCGATTAAATCACAAAACGTCAACTATCCCACATAATCTACCAATAGATGATTCTAATTCATCTATTTCAAGTTATCAGGCTACAATCGATTCAAAGAAATCAAAAACACAAAATGAGCACTCATTAAATAATAATAATAATAATTTTAATAAAGAACAATTTGGGCATAAACAATATCATCATTTTCCTCGCATGTATCCACCTGTCAGAGATTCATCAGTCGAGTCTAGAAAGTTGTGCCAAAGGAATAAATCAAACAATTCAATAATGACAACAGCAACAACAACTAACCCGGCTATAGAATCAGTGAATTCAACTATACTAAAAACAATAAACAATACAAAACATCAGTGTCAACTTATCAATAGTTTATTTCATCAAATAACTAAAAAGTTGGTAAGCAGTTTTATGGGAGCGTTTACATTTTATTATCCTTTTCTTTATATAGAAAATTAAACTTGACATTAGGAATTATTAAATTATTTTCCCTCTAGATTGAGAGCAAGTTTTGTAAAGGTCCGATTAGACTGAAGTTGACTTTTATCAAGAATTCTTACTGAGTGACCATTAACAATTAAGGATTGGTTTTAAGTTGTTAAATTTGAGTTCGCATGCATTACGCTAAAAGAAATCGAGTTCAGAATTTCTAGTCTCACCGCTTTTTTTAATACCATTGAATCGCAATCCAGTTATTTGTATTGTGAACTTCATTTAATTCCCAATGTTATGTGACATAATTCAATTTCATTGGTGTTATTTAAAAAGTCATCATTTTATTTATAAATAACACTAAGTTATACTGAAGTTCACTTCTTAAGATGAACATCGTTACCATTTTTAATGGAGACTTAGACGTAGGAAATGGATTAATTACTAGAAAGTGATGTGCCTTTCGTTGTTATAGGTTCTAATTCCTCTGAAAATTCGTGTTTTGTTTTGAATTCTGGTAATAAAAATTAAGACGTTTGGAATAAATAACATTTCTTAAGTGTAGATTTAGGATGTTATGCAAAATGGGATAATTTTCAGTTCATCTTCATGCTCTTCTTTGGTTGAAAATTTCGCATGAATGGAGAATACTTCCCCATTACACTAGTGACGACAAGCTTAATGTAACTTATTTACTAACTGAAGGTTGATATACAGCATTTTAAGTAATAACTCTTTATGAAAGCTTGTGGAGCTAACTAGACACCCAAAGAGAAAGTGCTAGATTAAGGTCGAACATATGACCCATTGGTTGAAAGGGTTAGTGCTTTGACCACACTGTACTGAGACCAGGCCTTATAATTTCAGATGTTTATCAATCCACCTAAATGTCTAATGGGTTTGAATGGGGGTAAGGGAGTAAAATAAATGTTCATGTATCTTAATGATGAATATTTATTTACTATATAAGGTGTAACTTCCTGATGTCTTTGAATCTATTATATGCTTGAAACTTCATCATTTCTTTAATTTTGATATGACAATAATAACTTATTAGAACTCTATTTATTCAAATGAATAAAAATATTTTCTGTTTAATTATTAATAGATTTACAATCATGAACAAATTATAGTTAATCTTAGTCATATACATTGGTGTTTGTCTGTTAGATTCATTATTAAAACACATTATGGTTAAATAATTTCTTAAATAGTATCATCATATGAAGTTATTTCGATTAGTGTTCTCGCTTCTTGTGAATTAAGAATCCATTTTTTCCTGTTTTAAATTTTATTCTGAAAAATGTTAGTGATGATGTTTTCACTTTCACTATCGTAGATAAATATTAAATGATGTACACTGGTGTTTAACAGACTTATTTTTGTGTCATCACTAGGCTAAGGAAATAAGAAGTTAGTCTTCATCACATGAGCACATCATTCATTAAATAGAGGTATATCCTGGAGTTCTAGTGAGAAGTAGTGACCAGTGGAGTTCAACCAGGTCTGTTGTGGGATAGAAACTCACTGAAGACAATGGTGGATGTGTCGCTCAATTTCGTGGATTAGTTGAAGTTAGACATGAACATCGTTGGATGCCGGCTCAGTGGTCTAGTGGTTAAGTGCTCGCGCGCGAAACCAGTAGGTCTTGGGTTCGAATCTCACAGGGGGCGAGGTCGTGGATGCGCACTGCTGAGGAGTCCCACAATAGGACGAAACGGCCGTCCAGTGCTTCCAGGTTTTCCATGGTGGTCTAGCTTCAACTGACTCATGATCTTAATGATTGAAATAGACCAAACGTTTAAGGCTTTGTCGGGAAATAGAAAACAGTAGGGTTCCAAAATACGACCAGGAATTGAATCTACGATATTTAGTTTGTGAGATGAGCGTCTGGCCTTTAGACCAATAAAAAGTAACTTGAAGATGGATTTCCAAACTTTTGGTGAAATTTTGTGGTCAATGAAGATAAGCCATGATGGATGTGAGGTATCGGTTAGACTGATGGAATTTGATAATGTTATGACCTTGATTTGTCTACCCACTTTTTGGTGCCGAGGATACTTGTCTAATCTAGATTAAGACCTTGATGCGATAGGCTGATTGGCTTAACCTTGAGACTTGTACGCGTGAGTTCGAGATGGGTTAGAGAGAAGAAAACTATTCTGTCACCTGATTGGTGGGCAAGCACACGAATGAGAGAAGACAAGACAACTAGAACACTACTCGATCTATTTCCCTGACCACTGAACTCACTGGATTCACTAAATTCAGATTAGTGTAAAAAGATACATGAATAAGTGAATAACCCGACCGCAACGTACAATAATTAGGAAAAATACAATTATGTCCAAAGCTGGGAATTAGAGTAGAAAATAGGGTGCAAAATAATATGTTTAAATTACAATAACTTCGAAACAGAAAAAGGTGTGGCAGTAAATGATACATCGAACGAAAGCTTATGTTCTGTAGAATAGATTAGGGACAAAAATAAATGACAGTGTTTTACAAGCTTTGAATAAACTGAAATAACGTCCCGAAAAATAGCCTTCGTAGTTTGTCAGGGCTTCTTGTTTCCCGGTTCACATCAGATAATCATTGTTCACCTAAATAAAGTCTAAAATCTACACCTGCAGATTTTTTCTTCGGGTATTAAAATATGCTGCAGTGTGTTGGATATTTGAAGGATCATGATTTAATCCCTAGGTGACTTGTTATTACGTACTATTAAGGATTCGCTGACTTGGACAAAGCAAGTGTAGTTAGATTTCTAATTGATGTCAATCTGCGACTAAAAGTATATTCATTCACTAGTTTGAAAAATAGCGTGAATAAAAATTAATATTTAGAAGGTTCTTATATATACTTGATAAACAAAAGTGGAATTTTTTGTAAACAGTTTAGTAAATTCAATGAGAAGAACCGATAAATATGTAAATGTTGTTCTTTTGTTTTCTAATAAATAACCCATTTTATGCGATGAATCATTGGAAATGGTTTTGTATTTTTTGGCAAATCCACCTTTTTCCTAAATATGTTTATCACTACCTAATGTAATCTAACTGCTTCTCGTTACCGGCGTATGTTGACAAATAGCAAGTATGCTGGCAACAGTGAAACGTGAATCTGTTTGTGACCATGTGATTAAGTATGACATTTGGTATAGTTATAATAATAACGCTAATAGTGATTCACAAAACGTACATTGTTTTCTTTAGATTTCTGCTTATTTACATGACAGAATCATCATCAAGACTTTGAAGAATTATTTCAGTAATATTTTCGAGTCGGTTTATTTACGAGTTCTGATGCTGTAAATATTTTGTTCTTCCCTATCCAATTTATGTTTACATCGTTTTCGAAAAAATGTTGGTTAGTAGTTACGCGAACGGACATAGTTTTAGTTGTCAGACTGATTATTTTAATTTATGATTTATTCACAACAATGAAGGTTAATAAGCTCAAAACGAACTCCTAAGTAGATTGCATCACAACAATGTCTTGGATTGAAACTGCTTATATTGGTGAACAAATTTATGTATATATTAAAATTAACTCCTTTTTCGAGGCAACAGTTTGCAGAATGTACAAAGCGGAATAAAACCTGAATGAGTCTTTATGAGTACCGTTTTAGTATCTTACTTATCTTATTTTGTACATTCCTCAAGAAGTTAAATCAATTACCAGAGGTCTAGTTAGTTAGTAGTTACAATTATGGATTTTAGAGAAGCCTCAGGTTAGTTAGAAGAAAGACTGAGAAGTTTCAAATTTTTAATAGTTTGCAATCCAACTTATTTCTACGGTTCATAAATAGTTTTAAAGAAAACAACTGAATAGTTTTCTGTCTCTTGCAACCCCTAAGATCATAATGATTGATGTTTCAAGACAGTTTGCCTCACTCACTAACTTTAACCATTGAGAACAAGGAAGTACTAAAGGTTGTTGCGCCCTTAGCATCAGTACCAAACCATAATCTCTCTAGACTCATGATCCTCAAGCTGTCAAAAGTAGACTATTGCGCCAATATTGTCATCTGATGACATTGATGAACCATTACCATATCATCAGTGATATCGTTCTCTATTTATTCTTGGTCTTTGCTAGTCACATCTCATTAAAACTAAAAGGAATTTTCTCATAGCTTTTATAATCTTAAATAGAATACTTCCTCCCATATTTTATATCTATATGCTTTTGTATGTGAAATTTAGTAGTATTGAAAAATGTCCTAAATTGAATTAAATGTACTGAAGCTAAAACTTCGAGTCCGAAATGAAATTTTCGCTAAATACGAATTCACCAATCCATTTACTTATCTTTCTTTCTAAATGGGACATTGAAATCAAGTTAAAAACTTAAAAAACAATTATGAACTAGTTTACAGTTACTGATAATAAGAAGCAGATGAGATCTGGATTTCAATGAATTTCATCAACTAGATTCTTGTGATTTAAAGTGGGAGAAAATGTAAAAACAGATTTATTCAAAATTAAACAGACATAGAATAACACAAATGAAGTTTTCTTTTTTTTAACTGTTACTGTTGAATAAATCAGACGAATGATACTTCTTGTAAATGACTTTTTCTTATGATGAAGAAAAAGTATAGAGTGGAAATATTAGTAAATAAAACAGACTTTTTGGGCAAAATTACTTTAACTTATTTCTAACCCATGTTATCCAATTCTCAGTTTATAAGGTTTTGTTCAGAGTAAAAGAAAAAGTCAAACTACTGTATTATAAATCTTTGAATATTCATTAGATTAGCTAGTAATAAAAAACAAACACAGAAGTTATCAAACCATACAAACAACAATGTTAATAAGCATGACAATAAACTTGAAAAATAAAAACACAAAACATCATCTCTATCTTCACTGAAGAAAACTGCTAATTGTTCAATGTTTCTTTACTTAATGTTGTTTAGCACAATCCTCTATATGATACCAACATATAAACAGATAAAAAGTGATAGTGATAATGATGAAACGATTAAATTTGTTTTTGAATTATTCTAAGGAAATCTGCACTTAAATATAAGAGTTGAATTCATTTATTTTCTTTATTCATTTAACCTGCCGCTCTGATGTATATACATAGATGTATATATATTCAATAGTGACCGGTATTTCAGGGAGGGGCACACATTAGTTACCATATACGAGTGCGCGTACTAGACTCTATATTGCAGTCAATTTGTGGGAGCTATCGATAGTGTTAAGATGTTTTATAGATCGAGAATTCACATTGCAGTCGGTTAAAATAAGTTTTTTTTAATCACCTAAAAATCACTCTAGTTATATTTCATTACTGATTAATCATTTTTACTGTTTATATTATAAATTCTGTAAATATAAGGGAAATGTTTATTGGCTCTTGAAAACCAATGCTTACCGTAAATGCTATTAGTAAAAAGGCAATTAACTTTAAAAACTGTTTTCTGAATGACTAATGTATGATAAATTAGGTGAGTTAGAAATAATTAATGCTCCAAGTAAGGCAGTTCAGTTCATCTAGTTTAATAAATCATAGGAATTATATCTAACACATTAAATGTTAGGAAAACTGACTCAACATATAACTCGCATGAATACATTACTTGATTTTTTTAATAATTCATCCTTTAATACTGGTATGCTTAAAGTATACATAAATATAATAGGCTTTTCATAATCTCCTAGGACGCTAATTTATTTTGATATGTTCCTCCACTAGTAAGACTGTGATTAAGGTATCTGTGTTTCACTACTAATGGAATTCAACAAGAAACCTGAAATTTTACTATGTAAAACATGTGAGACATAGGTTCTTCCGAACAGAGGTGTAGATGCGAACTTAACAATTCTCCTAAATTACGCTTTTTTAATGTACGTGTAATTTGATACGTATGTATTGAACATGATATATGGGAATTTCTATCTTTGCTTGAACTAATATCTACGTGGAAAATATACTGTTAAGTACAAATCTATAGCTCGAAATGTAAGAAATTTATGATCAGCAGAAAAATTGGAACCAAAGCATAAAACAGTAGAAGAATTTACTTGACAATGTTTACAATTAAATCTAATGGTAAGAGATGTACAGGGACTAAAGTGAATAATTTAAATAGCATTCAGGGGTGATCAGAAGCTACGTTCTTCATTTCTAGGTAATACAGCAGTGCCAACCGTTTAATAACACCTAACAACGGTAGAAAAAGTACAAATCACATGTTGTTTCTAACTTTATGTACCAATTTATATGTTGGTCAAATATATTTATTTATCAAATGAATAATATGACCTTTGATTTTTATCGAAGTACTGATTATGCAAACATTAATTTAACACTTAATAGCTAATAGAATATATTGAAGCGAAGCCACCCTTAAATTATAGGTATTCAAAAGTTGACAAATGAATACAAAACGTATGAATTAGTCACTGTTCACTAATTGCTAATCGATGAAGTGATAAAGTTCGTTGGTTGTTTAGTCAGGAAAATTTATAATGAATAGCAGTTTTTTTGGTCAGAAATTTACACAATGCAATATCACGTGATAATTTAAGAAACATAATATTTATTTCCTTTAAATAGTCAAATATTTTGTAGCCCCTTAACAAAGTATGTTATTAGGATAGTAGTTTAAGAAAGATTATTCGTCGCGAACGTGGTTCATAACATAGAGTGATTGTATAGTTAGCTAATCATTAGAAAATAGCTATCTAGTGCTTTATAGTTTTCAGTTCTTAGGTATCTAAGATCATTGTTTGCTGTGAATACTGGACAGTCTTTAAAAACGTTACATTCTAACAATCAAAATTTATTAGTCACTAACGTTTAGGTGTATTCCTAACTTTTTACGTAGTGATAGTGATCAATGGAGTCAAATAATTATTACTGATGATAATGAATAATCCCGAATGGACTGAAGCTTGATATGTAATCCATTGCAGGACAACTTAGTGGTGCAACGTTAAATACTTTCAAGTTATGGTTTCGAACTATGTTAGAATTATTCGGTGAACACTTTTGAGGAGTCCTATGCTCACTAAAGTCGATTCAACAATTGTAGTAACATTAATTTATTTAAGTACATATTCGATCAGTATAAAAAAGAGAAGATAAGAAGTTTCTTTTTCCAAGTATTGGTAAACTGAAGTCATCAGTGACCACACAAAGAATTGAGCACGTTATTGTCTGTTATTGATGACCAATGTTTTTTCTTGAGACTTACAAGACCTGCTTCAAGCTTCTACCTTGTCACTTCATGTTTGTATAGAAATATAACCATTTAAATATTGTTGTGTATTAGTTATCAATCTGTTTAATCATGTTAGATCCACTATTACATTAAAGGTAACCTTCATTCTCTTTATATTGGATCTGAAGTTATATAACTTATAACATATAAGTATTTAGATATACTGTGTTTTCAATTCAATTTCTAGATTTTCATAATTGTAAATTCTTTTTATTAAATTCAATTTTAGACTTGTTTACATGAATTTGACAAGCAAGTTATTAATGAACTTCAAAATGCTAGCCAAATCATAAATGATTTACAAAAAACAATAAAATTTTCCGAATCCTCTTTATTGAATTCATTACATTATCAATTAAATGAACATTTTTGTCAACCTAAAATATTCACAACCGAATTTTATAAAACTACAAATGGTTTTAAAAAGAAAACTGGAATAAAGGATTTTTCTAAAAAGAAAATTTATAATTTAGATGGAAACTTGAAAAGATCGATTATAGATGAACAACAATCATATCCAGTATATAGTCCAGAATTAGATTGTCGATCACCTGCGGAAAAGGTTAGTTGATATGTATTTTGTAAAATTGTTATATTATTACGACTTTGCTGTAGTCTTTTTTTGTAGATTATTGTAATGATCTTCGAAACATCGCTCGTATATCCTTGGACCACCGGATAAGTAACTCAGTTGTTAGGAGACAGATACTAGTAAAGGATGGCAAATCAATTGATGAAGTAGGGAAAATTCATCAGTTTTATGGTGTAGGATTAGGCGGAAGAACTCTAGGGAGGCCAGACCAAAACATGGCACAAATCCCTGAAGTCACTGACAAGTGGACTGATTCATGTTGTTAGGTGTAGACTACCTGGTTGGGGCCCGTGAGATGATAGCAACCGATAGTTAGAGACCCTGAATGACATGGCTCAAAATCGTTTGCAATGGCGCAAGTGTATCCACTCTTTGTGTTCTCCCAAATTCTAATCTCCTGAATTCTTCATGTTCCTTTCTTTTTTCTCTTTCCAAATTTATTTCACTGGATTATACTCCTTTCGGATTACTGCTTATACTCTTACTACCTCTACCACTATGGGATTTGAAACGACAACTGCATCTCTGTGCTTATGTGGTGTAGCAACTTGAACTGATGTATGTACGTTCGAAGTTCTACGTTGTTACTGACTGACTGAATTTCAAACACTGAAGTAAGCTAGGTGAATGTTTCATCCATAGATTATTGTTCTGTACGAAATTCTTCAAAAATATTTTAAAAATAATCTAAGAGAATTAGTGCCAACTTCACAAAGTAACTACGTATTATTTTAATGTTACATTAGTAGATATTATCAGAAGTAAAATACTTACCTTACCTGTTTATGATCGATTTTTATGTCGATAAATTAGTTGTTTCCATTGAAACACTGAACAGCATATTTACTAAAATCAACAACCAATCATTAGAAGATTTTTCGGATTCTGGATTTTTAATTCTGGGAATTAAATGATCATTGAACTACAACATTATTTATTTTCACTTTTATTGGCTTTTCATTATATCCTGGTGAGAATTATCCTTACATTAGTCTTTATTTTTTTGGTTTTAAAATCGTTTTACCGATGTAAAACAAACAAAGGCATATCGTGTGAAAATGAAGAGATAAATATTTCAATGGTTAAGATCATGAGTCAGTTGAAGCTAGACCACCATGGAAAACCCGGAAGCACTGGACGGCCGTCCTGTCCTATTATGGGACTCCCCAGAAGTGCGTATCCATGACCTCGCCCCCTGTGAGATTCGAACCCAGGACCTACTAATTTCACGCACGAGGACTTAACCACTAGACCACTGAGCCGGCATCCAACGGTGTTAATGTCTAAGTTCAACTAGTGACTGGCTTCAAGTTAAGCCCTCGCGCATGAAATTAGTAGGTCCTGGGTTCGAATCTCACAGGGGGCGAGGTCATGGATGCGCACTGCTGGGGAGTCCCATGATAGGACAAGACCGCCGTCCAGTGCTTCCGGGTTTTCCATGGTGGTCTAGCTTCAACTGACTCATGATCTTAACCATTGAAATTACTACAATCTCCACAAAACCCCTTCAGATAAATATTTGTTAATAAATTACTACTTTCTATATTTAATTATGTTTATTCATCGTGCAATTGACAATCCTCAAAAAGAAGTACACTCAAATTAGGTATTTTGTCGTAGTCTGGAACCCATGATCTAACTAATAACCTTTATTTCTGCCAATAATCATGTTAGCTTCCGTCATTTCCAATCCTAGTTATTTCAAGAATGTGCAGGTCAATTGTTCAACGCTATCACTGATACATACTCACTTCTAACATGATAAATTCCACTAGTTATTAATTTTAAATAAAACATCTAAAATTTCTGTAACCTTTAACTAGTTACTCTCACATGGTGACTTTTCAGAAGAATGGGTTGTAAGGATTTCTTTGTCGAAAAATAAGTTTCAGTCTGTCATACATTGAATTTCAAAGTTATGCTGATAAAGAAACAGACGATTATGAAGAAAATCGAAACTCATTTTAGTGTTTGTTAATAGCCACCCCTCCTCTAAAAGCAAATATAAAATTAGTTTTTGATATAAGATTTTTCTGGCAAAATATTTCATTGACGTATATGTGACAAGTGCTTTATGTCTCATTACGTTTCTGATTTTTTCTAAAAAAAGACAAATTTATCAAACCAGATATTTTCTTAAAATAATTCATCATATACTGTAAAAACATGTGAGTTTATTCATAATGCTAAATCTAAAGGTTTTCATTGTGAAGTTTGATTAGTAACGAGGAATCGCTATGCAATCATGTTTATTTACAATCCTCTAGTTGATTAATATAGTCTAGTATCATAAAAGTCGTGAATTAAGAAATGTTTGTTTATAGAGTTTAGAAGGAAAATCAAAAATATATCTTCTTTATCAATATCAGCTAGAGGTGGTACTCATAACTATGTTTCGTACTATTTGGAACTCATCTCTTGAATGTACCCATATAACGGTATTTATATTTACCGTTAAATTCGAATCCACTTTCCACCGAGGATACATTTAACTGTTAATGATTGAGTGTAATTGTTACAATCGTGTAAATAAATTTACTTCCAAGGGATTTGGTACGATAAGATGTAATCACAGTTTTGAGCACAGCTTATGCAGGTGATGATGTTACATAGCAATATGTTTTGACAATCTAAATGTTTTGCTTACTAATGTATAACGTATTTTTACTGTCTTATCGCTTGCGTACTCGATATAAATATAAATATACATCGAGAATGGTAAAAGATTTCTTTCGCTTTCCCAAGATTTTTGTAAATTAATAAAAAAAATTACGCACAGCACAGAAACAAAATCAAAGAAACTGATTTAGTTAAAGCAAATAGATAAAGTCTAGAAAATAAAATAACTTTTCTTAGATTTAAAATTTGTAAGCATCATGATTAATAATGACGGTCTGCTTGAGTACCTAGGCTACTTGTTGCTGCCATCTAGATATTTTAACAAGTTATCTGTTTTTTTGTTTGTTTTAACACACCATAATGTCTAGTAATAGAATATCCTACCCAGGTGCGTTTATCATAAGTTTACGATATTTCTCTATACAAGTTACAAAAAAGCCAGAGAAATCGTGGTCACTGACAATATGCAGCGAAAAAAATGTACATTATTCAGATTTCGATTCGTGAGCTGCTAACATCAAACTGGTGATCACTCAATTTTTATCGTCAGAAAAGATAAAGTAACAAGGAAAGGAAACTTGTTGAAATACTTTGTGCTGAGACTTCCATGTTGTACCAAAAAAATAATATTGAATAAAGCTAATAATAATAAGATTACTAGTAGTAGTAATCTTGTTTTTACTATCAAACTTGAGATTCTTAGTTTATTTCTGATAAAATAACCCAGAATTTATTGAGTTAATATTGTTTTTAGTAAATATTTAATGAGATCTGAATTCTATTGATAACTGCATATCAAATGTTCTAAGGATATTGTTGTTTATTATGTATTCATTATTGAATTGAAAGTGAGACTTTAAATCTGAATAGTAGTTACCAGTATTGTTCCGTTGTTTTGTGGTTAGATCAAAGAAAGATCAAAAGAATATATTTATGTCACCATACTTGTACTATAGACATTTCAGTTCTTTAAATATATCATTTTAAAAGCTGTTTATTAATTTTTCAGCTGATTATATGTTAGCTAAATCCAACAAACGACAAAATAACCTAGTATTAATATACAAAAACGAAATCTTCTTCATACTTTTAAGTTACCAAGGACTTATGTTAATATTTAAAACAAACATCGTTCAATGAATTCGGACTTATTTCCATCACATATAATTCAAATAATTGTTAATGCTAATGGGATTTTTAGCACTACAACTCTTTAGTTTGTTGAATCTATTCAACTTTATGGTATAATACATTATCTTTAGGCTACAGTCATTAAACTCCCTATTGATCCTCTTATCATATTAAATTCTTCCCCGCTATACTAATAAATACAATATCGTTGGTCACCTAAGCCTAGTATACAGCTCTACTTTAAACTTGAAAGGATCAAAGCACTTATCTAATCGTTTATACTCTTTAATGTTTTAAAAAAAGCAATTGATATTAGTGAATAAATGTTAGTGTACTTCTATTGTAATCTTTGTATACTATTATATTATTATATTAAGGTCAAGAGTATTGAATGATAAAAATGCTAGAAAATGTACTTTGGTTAACGATTATTGTGCAGAATGCTAATGGTAACTGTATTGATTGACTATGTTTTAGAAGAACAATTGAAAGTCATCAACGACTACCATATAAATCAAGTATGTTAGAAACTTCATTAATATGATATGCATTAACAAACTGATTTAACTTCAGTTACCCCTTTCAACTTATCGCTATCATCTGTTCGTGAATAAAGTTTTTTTTGTATTATATATATCATATTATATTCTTATTATATTATTATATTCATTTAATCAGTTAATCGATTTATTGAGTAGTTTTGGTAAACTTATGTATATACTTAATCTCAATAGTTAATTCTTTATACATTTTGTTGTTTTGTATTTTCTTCAAAGTGGTTATTTAATTTGGCACTGTAAAAACTATTCCTGTAACGACTTACAAGTGATTTGTAACCATGATTTATTACTTAATTCATTTGACTTTAAATAATATAATGAAGCCTGCTCTTTTCATGACAGTTCAAACAGTCAGACCATATAGAAAGACTGCAATTAGAAAGGATTTTTTTCTAGCTGTGTACAATAAGCTACATTTAATTGCTAAGTTGTATTTACTGAACAATAATGAGTACTTATTTTTCATATGTTTCACATTTTCATATTGTATTAAATGTAAGGGATGGAATTTTTTAGGGTCTTCTGAGAAAAATAACAAATTTCTAAAAATGTTCTGTGTGTATTAGATATAACTCATTAATCATGTATCATTTCTTCGTACACGTGGTTTTTGGGGCAGCACTGTTTACTTGAACGTCAAACATGTTGCTCGGCTGCTTAAACAGAAGGTGTAATGGAGTTTGAACCTGGTGTCTAATAATTGAAAGCTGATTGCTCTAATCACTAGAACTCAGCTTATGTGCATATAAGATACTTTAGTTGGCTCATTGCACTGTGTTAATCATAAGTTTGTAGGGTTGATTTTAACTCCTGTCCTTTAGGTTTGCATCTTAAATGAATGAAAGATTAATTGGATTCTCATATTTTCAATCAGGTTGAATACTCGTGAACGGGCTTAAATGGTGAAAACTTCAATTTATAGTCAATAATTCGTCTATTTCAATAAAGGAGTGACTTGTTCAAATGTAATTTTTGGAATCGTTCCTCTTGACTATATGTATATTAAAGAATTATCAACCATAGTTAGTTAAAGCATCTCGTATGAACTTCTGAATTCATACTAATTTCACGAATAGAGTAGGGTTGAAGTGTTCAAGCTATAAACAAATAGCTTATACTTAATTTCTATATAATATTTCGGTAAATAAAAATAAATGATCGAGTATTCATTATAATGAGTCATTCATTCAGTGTGTACATTTCTGTTTTGTTTCTTTTTGATTGACATTCATGAAGGAATTATTTAAGCCAAAAGCAATAATAATAACAACAACACTAAGGAGAAGAAAAAGAATGAAACAACTGTTCATCTATTTATTTATACCACATTATATTATTTAGTAATTTTATTGATTTCCATTTCGTTTGTAAACTTACACCCCAACAATTAGTGTCATTCACTTGTTAAATTAGAAATAGTAATTTTTAAACATTTGAACTTTTGACTAAGCACACATACCCGAACACACTCATATCTATTTTCTTTTTTTAAAAAAATATCAAGCCCCATTTTGTTCAATATATGATTTCATATAAGTTGAGTGATTGAGGAATTTGATAGGTTTTTGTTATACATGTAATTAAAATCAATGATAATGCATTATTGAGGAGTCACAAATTGTATGAAAATAATGGGATTTATTTATTTTTTTTAATCATTTAAAATAAAAATCCCCAGTATATTTTGATACGAAGTATGGTGATATATGTCTATGTATCTTCTTTTCACTTTTGTTATCTCCTATATAAAATAATAAATCTACACTTAATTTTTAAAATATTTTTGTGTATTTAATAAAATATATCATTCATTTACAAATTGTGATTCATTCACTTCCTCTCTCTCTCACTCTCACTTTTTAGCTTTATTCGAATTCACACGCAAATACATGTACACATAGTCAAACATGTACTTTGCGTATTTGCGTCTCTTTACATTCTACTGCCAGTAGGTACACATATTACGCTGTTACACACAAAAACAATATGCATTTAAGACCTATTTTTTACTACATATTTTTTTCTACCTCATTTAGCATTCCACATATTTTTTCCTGTCTAACTATTTATCTATTTCGCGATTTGGTTAAATAAAAATCGATTTGAAAAAAAATACACCAAATATTCAATTTAGATTGAAAAAAAGGATCACTATGGGAAATGTTTTATCTATATCAGTAATCTAAATTTTAAATGGGAATTAAATATTTATTTTTTATTGGACTTCGCTTAACATTTAGAATTTTGCTTATAGTTTTGAAAGTAGACCAAAATAGGAGGTATCCAAACTGCCTATGCATCCTAATTAATTGAATTTAAGATTATGTGCAGGATTACACTGCTTAGTTATATCCAACGCTCATCTGTTATTCTATATCATTCTGGCCATCTGATGAATTAGTTTTCTTTTTCATGAATTGTCAATGGATCAATATTTTTTTTAAAAAATAGATAGACTCTTTTGCTCTACTAATCTTTAAGCTCATTATGTTATATCATTATTTCTTTGATAGGTTTTTCTGACACTGACACTCAGAAATCGTCGATTCAAGTAATCTGGAGGTATTTTAATTTTGAAAGACGTCTGAAGTTAGGAATTTTGTTTTATAATATATATCACAGAGTGATCTTAATTAGACAATAATTTATAAACTGGAAACACTGAACATCTATTTCGTCTTGGAATGAGATTCCATAACAGTGTCTACCGAAAACCCCACTGAGGATCAAACTCAAGACCTAAAGTACTCATGGCAGGCGATTAATCTCTGAGCTGGGATCCAAGATTTTAAAAATCTGACTCCAATCCATTCGCAAAATTGAATGACCAAATTTTGTTATTATTGATGAGTAACTGCATAACACTTTGCAGGTTTGGATTCAACTGGTCACGGTTTTTATCCAGAACAGCTTTCGAATGCCTCTCCTTTTCTACAACATACCGAACTAAGATTGGTCCTTGTTACAAACTGTGAAACTCAACAACCTCCACAAAAAGCCTACAATACTTATCTGGTTTGCTATGGATGGCTAATAATTCAGATATAGATTAAAATGAGATACCTAGGAGAAATTTTTAGTCACATATGAAATAAAACCTTGTTTATAAAATGCACTTTTTAATGTTGATCTGAATGATTAGGGGACTTATAGAATGATAAATGTCTGTCAATGATATTAGGTTGTAGCTGCAGTGGATCTCTAATTTAACTGACTATCAAAAAGAAGAAATTTGTTCTGACTCAACATCTCACATATCTTCTGCTACACCTCCTATAGGAGGTACTAACTGCTTTTCTCTGACTTTTGCTTATAATATAAACTGTCATCGTTTCAATCTTATCTTAAGAAACCACGTTGGTCGATATTTTGAACAACTCGTGGGAGTTAACCAATGTATATTTTACACGATTCCAAATATTACGTCATATTTATCAGTCAAATGAACCTACACCATAAATAAATACTGAATATTCCATTCATCTGTGCGAAGGCGAACAGAGATTACAGATAAACCAAAATGCACAAAAGTATTTTGGCTGAAGTTTTGAAAAAATACTGGAGTCCGTTATTTCAACTTGGTAATCTTAAGGTATCTCATTAACCTCTATACTGGGAAATCTTAGAGTCGACCCTGTGTTTAATCATCATTGTGTATTACTGAAGAGTTCAGAAATGGAACAAAACAAGCAGTTATTAATGAACACAATATCGAATCGAGCTAAAAATTAAGTGCCAAAAAAGTTTCCTATTTACATGGAATACTCATTTTCAAATTGAATATAGCACACACTCACTAAGTGTTATTTATTCGCAGGTTTCTAATTCCGTAAGTGTTGATCATATACAAACAAGTTCATCACATTTCTAATCCATTTTGTTTATCTTTGTTTCAGTAAAGTCCCTTAAGTTTATTAAAATAGATAAATTTATTTTACATTCAAGTTATTGCTTATTACTATATAATCTTTAGTCAGTAAATTTAAAAATTGTAAATACTATTGGTTCATAAGTCATAATGAACTAAAATGTAAATCTTACATTCTTCTGAAAGCAGGGAGTTGAATAATTACCAATTTGATGAACTCCTGTTTTAATGTTCAAGCAGTTATATATAGTTCCTTTGTTTTTCTAACCACGAAATGAAACAAAGATCTATTAGAAATAAACATGCATCGAAGTAGTTGTTCTATCCTAGTTCAAACTTTTCAGTAATATGCATCGACGATTCAATTGAATAACTGAAACCTACAACATCCATATATCACTACAAGCAGAGCTAATCATAAACATTTGAGATAGAATCTGTCATTTCACACTCTTAACCTTAATAAATGCATATTAAGTAATAATGCAATCACTCAGTATCATTAGTGATACTTGTGTGGCTCTACAAGTTATCGATCCTCAATAATTCTGTTCTTTTTTCTTATTAAAAAAAACTGATTACGGATTTTAATAACAATTTATTCAGCATCTCTCTTGTATGTATTTTAATATTTTTTAAAAAATCCAATTAAACAGGATGACTGGAGAAGTCCTATCGCAGAGAAAAATGAACGTCATTCAAGTCAAAGAAAATTCACAGAATCGCCATGGGGACCAGTATCAGTTCAACAAGCAAAAAAATTAACAAAAGATCTCGATCAATGCCCGAAAGTCATTGGTCAAAACAATAACAATCGTAAAAATAATCACCTTATAACAAATGATAATTATTCGAAATGGTTAAAATCTTCGAAATCTTCAATGAGTAATAATAATTTAGATAAATTGAATGAATCTATTTATCAAACTAATGATGTAACTGATAAAAAGTCTAATTTGTCAAATGAACGATATTTTAGCCAATTAACTTTACCAATGTATTCAACGTTTTCCAGTACCAAATCAAATACAGTTTATTTGAATACATCTAAAGAATTTAATGTTTCAGAGAGTAATTCAAACAAATTCACCACAACCAAAGGTATTCAATCTTTATTTAGATTGCCATTCAAAAGAAAAGCAAGTACACCTGGACCGAATATGCAATCTGTAGAACATCCATTAAAATCTCATGGACGTTCAGCTAGTTTAGCTCAACTGAATACATCAAGTGAAAATCCGTCTGTTATGTCTGTATCAAATGATCAATTGAATAAAAGTACTAATAAATTAAACGTGCCATATATTAAACCTTTACTACTTAAAGAATTGTCGAAAATTTGAAATTGAGAAACCAATGAAATGACCATATTTTTATTAAAAAATGTTTCAAAAATCTTAAAAATTCTTAATTAATAAATTGTGACTTTCTGCTTTATATTCTGCGTTCAATATATTTCTTCTAATAAATATTTTGTCCGTAAGAATATAATCAACAAAATTATTTTCTAAAGTAAACTAATGTGCCTAAAACTAGAGTTTTTCATTAAAATATTTTGATTGCATAGTGGTAACACCTCTGACTGTGAAGCTGGCTGGAACGGGATCAAATCCATCATGGAGCATCAGTTCCTTCAAAATTACGGGTACACCTTGCTGACGAGTGCCAAGTAGCACGAAACATATATCCAGAGTTTCCTGGTAACTACCTCCAACCACCATCATATCTCAATATAGTGTACGCAGTGTCGAGTCACCTAGACTGGTGGCCATATTGCAACTTGGTCCATAACATTCGACCTGCACTAAGAAGGACTTGACACATATGACACTGATCACCATTCAGTGATCAATCAATTGTCATAGTGAAAATGTTTATAATCAAAAGGCATGGTTTTAGTAATCATAACTATACTCATTTGTTGTTAGGATAAAGTTATGATGGAATTTATCAGTACCGGATAATAGGTGTTGCTCTATACAGAAATATCTGTTATTGATATATCTGACTATCTGACATGGTATTTAGATAACTTTAAGAAATTCATAAGCTAGGATCAATCGAATGAATTTATGTGATATTATGTGATGTAATTGATTAATATTTTAGGAGTGGCACAATTTTTTGACATTTCACCAACAGTTATCTGATGGTGGCCTACTTGAAATCTGGGCTAGCTGTTCTTGCCATCTAGTTATCTAATTTTGTTTGTTTAAGTACATCATTATGGTTATTACTAGCATAACCTATTTAGGTGTTTTTCTGAAAAGTATACAATCTTTCGTTGTACAAGACCCAATCAGAGATATCGTGGTTGCTGGCAATACGCAGTGAAAATATTGTACATTGACTGGATTGCCAACTTGTAACTGGTGATCACTCAGTATTTATCGTCATGATCGATCAAGCAGTAGGAAACCGAAACTTTTTGAAATAATTTGTTCTGAGAATTCTTTATTGTACTAAAAATATAATATTAAATAAAGCTAGTTATAATCATATACATAATTTACTGTAGATGTTGTGGCTACTTATTAGTAGCTCAGTGTTCATTGTGAAATATTTTATATATAAATGTATAGTTATAATCCTGAAATATGTGAAAGGTGTCCATCTACTGAGAACGTTTATGTAATAGGATAGATTATAACGACAGACGTTAATTGTTCATATCGTGGAAATTTATCACAAATAGTTGAGAAATATTGATACTACTTTATTTTATTCAGTAACTATGTTCCTAAAGTACTCACCAGTTCAACATAAAAAGATCAAAGATTATTCATCCTGCAGATGATTGTACGTTTTATTGATATCAGATTTGTAACTGCTTAACTAGATCATTAAGTGAAATAAGTTCACGTGAAGCACATGATGTAAATGTTGGTATATAACATTACATTACCAATCGGTGGGTTTTGAAGCTCTTTTCTTATGGTCCAATGACAGCATTTCGAAGTATCCTTATTTATCAGAATAGGATCTTGGTTTCGATGTCAGAGATAGTATTAATAATTCCTAGAACATATTTTTTCAAAATAAATTATAGTTATGTGATCCATAAATTGAAATTTAACAATGATATTGTTTTATTTACATAATTGTATTTCCTCTAAACTGAAGTAGCACTTTTATGATTCATTCAATTCACAGCACTTATGTAATAGTATTGTTTTATTTATAACATAAATCACTTACATTTTTATCAAGACAATGAATCGGTTTCAATTTTAAACACATGTTTTCTATCTTAATTATCATTGTACACATTTACAAATAACTGCAAGGTTGTTCAGATATTGATGTTAAAAACCTTAGTTATTCACGAAATGCAATACAATACTTATAGAAATAATGATTACTTAGTACGAATTTATCGTATCCTGTAAATACTGTATTTCTTGCTTTATTTAAATTACCAATCAAATTTATCCCAGTTATTTACCAAATCAAACAGACATTTTTATTAACATTTATGAGTGTGAGTTATAATACATCTCTGTATTAATACATTTATGGAATATTGAATGTTCTTAAAGATATTGTTACAAGAACATAGCGAGAGGAAGTACAAATTTCAAGTGTGAATACTGATAATCACTACCTTGGCAATTACTGTTTATACAGGTGATAAATCTCTGAAAATTATCTGTAAGAGTACTTTTTTTACTTCAAGTTATATACTTACTTACTTACGCCTGTTACTTCTCGTGGAGGAGCATAGGCCGCCCACCAGCACTCGCCATCCAACCCTGTCCTGGGCAATCCTCCGCCTGTGGCTCTTCCAGAGTTACTGCCGGTCCCAAGCCCGGGTAAAGGGGGAGAATTGAGCATGGGGTTAGTGACCCCATCCCGAAGAAAACTAACTCGTTAAAAGACGCTAACCAGAAAAAGAGAATTCAAACCATTTAAACTCGGCCCTGGGAGTTAGAGGGTTTCCATTTTGAAGAATTATGATGCCTCATGGTGAAAGCCGAGTTCCTTCAAGTTGCATAGTGCCCATCTATATATCTATCCCTGTATATTGATTTGTCCTTGTTTAACACATACCTGTTTTTCACCATATTGTATGTGTTAGAGATAATTGTCTAGAGCAGAACCCACTATTTTACTTGGCTTCACCATGTCACAACTCCATGAAATAACTAGCTTGAATCGAAAGTGATTTTTATTAAAGAAAGTATCATGTTAATTGAGGACATTTATATCCAGTTTAATAATTCAGTAAAAATTATTACAGACAGCAAAGTCAATATTGGTAGATTTTAATTTTATAAGTAAAAATCTATACACACACTATCCTCATACAATAAAGTAAAAATACAAAAACCAGTAGAAGAAACACTTTATTACAGTTAGGTTATAATTGTAATTTTTAATTATTTAAAGGTTATACAAATACAAATACAATCAGGGATGTCAAGAATGTTGAAATATTGATACGAATGTTTTTGTTCAGTCATGTAAACGTTCCATCTTTGGAGTCATGATCTCTATATTTGTGTCTCTAGTTTTAGCTAGAGTTTTATCTAGTGTTTACAGTTCGTGATTTTACTTCAAGGTTATTGAAAATATTTAACGAAGGTACGAACGACATTTGTTCTTATTTTACATAGTCGTAATTAACGATGTTGTCAACTAACCTTTATTGTACTAGTGACTGACACTTGTTACAATGTTTGAATGAAAGTGATTATTATGTGATCACTCGTTCATTTGTTGTGGTTTACCATTTAGAAATAGTTAATTACATAGCGTTTCGTTATTAATTTGAATGAAAATACTCCAGTCGTGATAAATATTATTAATGAAATACAGTATTTAACGGGACGATTAAAATGTTTCACCGCGTTATTAAGTTAATGAAATAATCACATAGAACTTGACTTAGAAGGTTATGGTGGGATTAAATTCTTTGAGCTAGACAGAATAATTGCACAGCGTTTGTTTTCGTCATTTAGATGAAGCGAACCAACAACAAACAGGATGTTGACATTAAGAATCTGGAAATTCTAAAAAAATTACTAGCGAAGTTCTTATAGTACACTTATCAATTCTCTATCAAGAGTTATATATAAATTCATAACTAATGTCATTTCATACAGAAAAGGTTAGTCAACCATATGTTCGGAACTCAAGAGAAAAAGCTGATCAACATGAATGCAAAAACAAATCAAGATGATAAAGCTCACAAAGACAACTGGTCACAATAAGTTTTTCAAACAAACACAACGACTGACGTGACATTTACGGAGTAACTGAAAGGCTTACATTATTTGAAGTAGACGCGAATAATGTTATTCAGAGCACCAATTAATGCTCCTCAATTAATACGTCTATCTCAGGTGGTTCAACAATAATTACAAACATTTACCTAGGCTGCAAATTTCCATCATTTCAGGGAATATTATCTCATTTATTTTATATAACCTGTATAAGGGTGTAAAGAGAAAAGCATAAAAATAAATAATTAGTTAACTGACTCATTTTATTTACATTACTCAATAGCGTGGAAATTTCCTATTTTCTGTATTGTGTAATTTATTCCAGTTTTGGTTATCTGCTGAGATGAATGAACTTGCATTGATAAAAGATAAATTATCCATAAATCATTCCTTTCTAATTTACATTTCGGTCGAATTGGTTTACAGAGAAACAATGAAGAAGAAATTAATAAGATCATAACAGAATTGATCTTATTATTTCCAGTTTATCCATACGTTTCTTAGTATTCATGTATAACCATCAGTAATTTAAAAGTATTATTCTACTTGGAATGATTTCTGCATTTTTCATTTAAATTGTGACTTAAGTTATGAAGATCCTAAAAAGATTGACAACGGAAAGTTTAGTGAAATTCATTTTGAAAATTTACACCTGTTCAAATCAGAAAGAAGTGTTGAGTGATACACTAAAAGGCTCATAAGTGAAACATATCTATCTATAAATTTTATTAAAAGTGAACCGATAAATGGAAGCCGAGTTTTCACTTTTGGCAAGTTTAATTGATTTCTAAGTAGTAAATGATGTTATGTTTCTTATGTCCTTAGTGTTGACTATATTTTATCGATCAGGTTGGAACTTTTAAACTAGTTTAATTGATTTGAGTTCCTGTGATATAATATGATGGAAGATAATTGAATGCACTTGAATCTTTTCATAGATTTTCTTCAAGACTTCAGATATAAATAGTTGGTCTGTGTCAACCAGGAGAAAACTAAATTTTCTTATCGATTTTGATTTTAGCCCATGAACGTTTATATGTGTTAAAGATGGTATATTCAATACATGTTCTGGGTGAATATCAGTGACTTAAAGGGTTCTTTTTTAATCTGAATAATTTTTTGAAAAAAACTTATTTAAATCATATTATCAATCTAATTATTTCTTAAAGTATAGATTAACTGAAATTTACTGGAATTTCTGACGTTGCTTTTTTGAGTGGAATGTTGAAAAAAAAACTTAAAAGTTCATTCTATTGCATAATTTCCATAGCACTTGGATTAAATTGGAAGAATCTTTTTCAACGAAT